TTTGTTCATTTGCTGGTTTTGATTTTGGTTTGCTTTACCTTTTTTCTTTTTGTTAATCAGATTTTCTTGTTGTAAATTGAGAGACAAAGAAGGGAACGTCGACGTAGATCTAGATGTCAAGTCAAAGTAAATTAATTAATAGTTCATACGTGCACCTGAGATTTACCTTTCTAGTGATCGTTCAGCTACCACTGCCAGACATACTCGCAGAGCACCAGTAGCAGTGGGCAGCAAGTCAGGTGATGCTTCACAATTTACAATTTTTTAAATGCTCAAAATGTGTTAAATTTTTCACGGTCAGAAAAAAAAAATTCGATATATAAGTTGCCAAAGAAATGGGGAATGCCGGGATTTTTTGTTTAACTTCATTTTTTTGACAAGCGCCTGATTTCATCACGTTGACTCACCACATAGATCTATTTATTTCTGTCCAAACTATAGCTTCCTCATAAACTGCAAGTAAAACGGAATTGCTTTTCAAATTATCCCATTCATTTTTTCCCTGATAAGGCTGTCCACGTGGTTTTATGCACCCCGCATAATTAGGCAAATTTGATCATTTTTTTGCATAATTTCTTACTATTTTCCTTTCTCATTCTTTATTTAAAATTAACAGAATCGCATAATTTCACATCTTTTGGGCTCATTTTGCATAATTTCATAATTTTTCTTGCATAAAACGACGGTGACAGATAAGGATAGTAATGCTATAGCCTACTTAGCTGATTGCACTGAATCATGCCATGCAATAAATCCAACAAAAGCAGTTGCTCTCTTTTTTTTATGGCAATGTTCCAACTATGGGGAAAAAAGTTGGCCATGAAATGTTCAGACAGTAGGAAGACCTTGGTAAAATTATGAAGGACGTACCTGTGTTTGTCTTGTTACTGAAGAAGATTGATCTAAATTTAATGTTTACAATGGCACAGATGTTGTTATGTTTTGCCCATAAGGTGGTTGGGTTGTGTGGAGGCAGGGATGGGTACATGAACAATTATCTACTTAACAATCCTTTTAAATCTGACACACTCCCCCCTTCCCCAAAGGAGGGATGTTAACATAATGATATATTCTTATGCACAGTAGAATTGTAAATGGGCTGATTTATCAATGTCTTGCTCATACATGTACTGTGACGAAAAAACATAGGGGGAACTGCTGCTTTTTAAATTTTCTTTCCTCATCTTTACTATCGTCATTTTTCGTCTTCTTCTTTGTATTTGTATGTGTGTCACTCTCTTGTGAACTGCTGTTTCCGTGCAGGTACCTTGATAGTCGAAGCAGACTTTGTACTGTAGATCTCTAGAGGCTAGAGAGGTGAACTGAGCACGCTTGTTTCCCTCTTTGGACGTCTCTGTTGACATCCACCCCTTG